CCTTGGCAAGGGTATCTTATACGTTGCACTTTCATAAACTCTTTAGCTTATTTGAGTATTCATATACCCTTTGAAAGGTATATCGGCTTTATCAACCCCTTTAACAAGGGTTTCATACTCTACGAATTTTTTCTAACGGGTATATCAATAAACGCTTCCTAGAAGGGTTGATAAAGCCGATATGCCTTTCAAAGGGTATATGAATACTCAAATACCCTAAAGAGTTTATGAAAGTGCAACGTATAAGATACCCTTGCCAAGGTTTATGAGTTAAAAAGGTATATTGGAGGGTTTCTGAAGCCAAAATGGGTATATGGTAGGGTTTATGAGGTTAATAAACTCTTTTGACGGGTATATTATTATACGCCAATTTTTTACAGTGATTTTATACCATTTCCATCGTGGAGAAAAATCCATGATTTTCGACCACCCCCTTTGTCTAGTGCCTCGGATCCTTGCACAATGCTCGACCGTCTTATGGAGACTATCTTACATATTCGAACACGTCCGGTTTTTTAACAGATTTACATTTGGAGAAAAGATCGGTTTCTCACTTACGCTATTATCATAAGCTAATCAACTTCCTTCAGTTCACACGATAAATTTTCCAATAAAATGGCTGCAGCAGTAGTTTCATCATTATCGTCAGATGCAGGAAAGAAAATTGTCTGGTTCTGGCAATCTAACTCAAATCCATGGAATAGAGAAGAAAAAAAGGAGTGGAAACGCTATTCTGATTTTGAAAACGACTTTATTGAAAATGCTTATCAACGACAAGACTCGGAAGAAGTTCAACTCAATGATTATGTTGTTAATTTTAAATACAAGATACAATATAATCAACAAGATAGAAATAAGCAGAGATCAATAAAACGTGAAGAAATAGATGTTAAGAATTATGTAAGGGAAGATCGATTTAATTATCCGGAAAGAGCAATAGAATCATTCGTACCTTACGAAAAGTTCGCATATGTGACAAGTCTTGCTGGTATGTGGCAGTTTATGAATCGTAGTATAACTGTACGGAATCACGAAAACTTTTTACAGATCGCTGAATTAGCAGCACAAGGTAGGCTTGACACCTGAAGCGTGTCATTCATATACTGTCTTTTGTTGCAGGAATTTTGAAAGAAGGTAAAATATTGAATCAAGAATTCGATGCTCAACGCATGGCTGCGTTATTGAGAAACTGTATAAGTGATAAAGAGCCTCTTATGCCAGAAGAAGAGTATCAGCAATGCAATCCGACTAAACAAATTGAAGAGATTTGGAGAAGAGGAAAAGTCAAACGGGAAATCCAAGCGTGCGCTGCTCGACTCTACTCAACTGAATCATTTCTTTTCAAACTAGTCAATTTAACACTGAGAAATAACAACTATTCTAAACTTAAATCTCTCGGACCATTCATTTTTTTATTGCATAAATACGTGCCTGAACATAGTTCTGGTAACAAAACTGTTTATCGTGGAGCTGATCTAAGTGAAGAAATGGTAAACGAATATAAACATGCTACCGGTAAAATCATTCAATATTTAGCATTTACTTCTACATCAAAAAACCGACGAGTAGCTGAGCAATTCGGAAATGTATTATTTATCATTTGTGTAAGAGAATTAGGGCTACTGCATCCTGGAATCGATATTTCATCACATCCACCCGCACCCATACTCTACACCCCACACCCATACCCAAATCTTCTTCTATATTTATTTATATTGATTGATATATGAAAATAATATTAAGGCTTAATGGAATCATAACTTCAACACGTTAAATGAGACATCTGATCAAGCGTAAGGGTTCAGTTATCAATGGTTTTCGAAGCTTTCAATACCAATTTCCTGTCATAGTAACCACGTATTT